TGTGTGTGTGTGTGTGTGTGTGTGTGTGTCTATGTGTGCCTTTTAGAGGCAGGGTTTCACTATTCGGTTTGCACTGATTTTGAACTCACTTTGCAGCCCAGGCTGGCCACAACCTTGCCGCAATCCTCCTGCTTTAGCCTTCTGAGTGCTGGAATTACAGACATGCCACCATGCGATGCTCCCTGATTCTTTCTAAACACAGTAATAAATTTTTTTCTCTTACAGTTCGTGATCAACATTATTCTACATTGTTACCTATCTTCAATCACTTTATTTTATTTTATTTTATTGCGGAACTGGGGATTGAACTCAGGCCCTTGCACTTGCCAGGGAAGCGCTTATTCCACTGAGCCATCTCCCCGGCCCCTTCAGTCACTTTAAAGACCATTTTAGAGGTTTGGAAAGGAGTGGATGGTCTGCTGCTGTTGGCGCCGCCGCCGCCGCCGCTGCGGCGTGTGTGTCTGTGTGTTTGTGCGTCTCCTTCCAGAGCAAGGAAATGAGATACGGTAAGAGCTGTATTAAGCATCGGGTTACTTCTAAATAACTTTGTTTCAAGTGTGCATGTAGCAAAACTGAAAAAGACAAAACAGGAGGAAGCCACAGCCTATGGCCCTGAGGGCTTCTTCCCGCTCCCCCCACGGCCACACCCCTGCCTGGCCTGCCCCTGCTGTCCTGCTGCTGAGAGGCGAGCAGTGCTGTGCACGTATATGCACAGCGCTGGAGCAGTGTTCAGCTGTACAAAGAATGAAACGGTGTCACAGCAAGACAACGGATCCACAGTGCAAGCCAGACAGAGAAATTCAAATATGATAGACCTTGCTGCTTTCTCTCCCAGCCTCCTCCGGCCTCTGGCATTTTGAAACAGGGTTTCACTATGCAGCTCAGACTGGGTTTGAACTCACTATGTACCTGAGGTTTGCCAAAGTGACCCTCCTGCCTCAGCCTCCTAGGTGCTGGGATCAGAGGTGTGCACCACCACACCTAGTTTATATTTTCTCCTCTGTGTGTGTGTGTGTGTGTGTGTGTGTGTGTGTGTGTGTCCTGTAGGAGAAGGACTCTGAGGGAAGATAAAAGGGTCTGGGGGTGGGGAAGTGTGGATCTGATCCACGCTATGGAAACACTGCAGTGAAACCCACTACTCTGTACAATTGATATACACTTGTATATTAATAGTTATAAGTCTTTGGTGTGGCGCTGCGAGGCTGAACCCATGACGTGAGCACTAAGCAGCGGTATGTCCCCCATTCTTTTGTTTTTTTTGAGAGAGCTTCTCACTCCTGTGGCCAAAATGCCCAGGGCAGGCTCAGATTCATGCTCCTCTTGTCTCCGTTTCTAGGAGTGCTGGAATTACAGGCATGTGCCACTTTGTCAGGCTGTAATTTTTTTTTTTTTTTTTTTAACGGAACATTCATCCAGGTTCTCTGTGGCTTCAGCATGGGACCGTCCAGAAAATGAAACCTGTAGTGCCACTCCCAGAGGCAACCATTTGGAGGCTACTTAAAAATTACAACCTAAAGAAAAAATAGTTACTACCTTGGCTTGGAGCCCCAGTTCAGCTGTAGAGTGCCTGCTCGCAGGGTGAGGCCCTGGGTCCAGTTACCACACACACATTACACGGTTAGTCAAAATCAAAAAGAGAACTATGTAGCAAACACTACCCTAAACTATGCTTTAGGCGGCTCCTGTATCCCCAGCACCTCTCACACTTAACCATTCCACAGTAGTTACTGTTTCAGGTACCATTGCAATTTTTCATGCAAATGTAACACTGGAAATCTGGTGTAGTGGCGCCTGGAGGATCACCTTGCGTTCCAGGCTAACCTGGGCTACACGGTGAGTTTAAAGGCAGTGTGATAGTCTCTGTCTCAAAAATAAATAAATGAATAAATAATTTAAAAACCCCAGGGGGCTGGTGAGATGGCTCAGTGGTCTAAAGCACCTACTTAGAACAAGTTTAGCAAAGCACAGGGACCACGGTTCAATCCCGCAGCACCACATGCCAGCCAGCCTGCCCCCTGGTGGGCTGAGCTGGCCACACACACATAAATAAATAAATTAATTTAAAAAAAAAAAAAAAAAAAACAACCCACCAGGACAAAACCCATTAGTATCTTTGCATAAAATGTCCTTCATAGTTGAGAGTATTTCTCTAAAGTGGTATTTTATATAAAAGGATGCAAATGTTACTATATTCAGTAAATTATTTTTTAAACCATGGACTGGATTTATGCTGCATAGTGATGCTTCAGGTACAAGCAAGGGCAAGAGAACGGCTGTGTAAAGCATGGAGCAAAGCCAGCTAGAACCCGCCATGAGGGTGGGTGGGCAGGCACTGGGCGGGGCGGCGTGCGAGGGCACGTCCTAGGATACTAGCAACCAACGTTTTGATGAGAGTTTGGCATTTGTCGAATCTCAGCAAACATAAACTTAAGACTTGGGCACTTCATAATTGATAGGTTCAGGCCCTAGTAGAAATTGTTCAAATCATTGTGGTGGTCATCTAATATGGCCAATGCCCTTAAAACAAAGGCCCATGCTCCCAGGACCACCTACCTCCCCCTTCTTCTCCAACTCAGCCCAAGACATATTTACTTTCACCATTCCCGCCACCTCAGGGAAGACCCCCAATCAGCTCCCTCAGATATATCTAAACGCACCCTTCAAACCCCTCCCCTGGCAATAGACCATAAAAAACCTCAGCCTTCCTTTGTCCAGTTCAAAAAATTCCTTGACCTCCCAGAATTCTCTCTGTGTCCTCAAAGAAAATAAAGCCCTTTCCCTTTTTCTTCTGCCTGTTTCTCTGCTGCACCAAGAACCTATCAATAATGCGATTTTAAATCAAAAGGAAAAGATGTTAACAGAAACTTCTCTGAAGTGAGTGATATGTGCGGTGAATGGGGAAGGGGTATCAAAGTCGCAGTTTTCTTTGAAGCACTACTAGTATCTAAATTGGATGGATGCATGAATAGAAAGAAGAATGAATAACCCAGGCGCGGTGGCCCATGCCTGTAATCCCAGCACCCTGGGAGGCAGAAGCAGGAGGGTTTGAAGTTTGAGCCCAGCCTGGGCAATTTAGGGACTTAGTAAGACTCAGTCTCAAAATACAAAGTAAAAAGGGTTAGGGATGGAGTTCTGGGTAGAGTTGCTAGGTTCAATCCCCAATACCCCCAACCACAGAAGAATGAACAGATACAATGAAAGAACTGTCAGAGTAAGATGCTAATAGTTCAATACGGGCATGGGGGTGTTCACAGTAAAATCTATTTTTAAATTTTCTATGTTTTGAAAAAATTTTACACTGTAAGGAAAAATTGGGCATGGTTGCACATGTGTGGAGTCCCAGTATTTGGGAGAACGAGGCCGGATTACAAATTGAAGGCCAGCCTGGGCTACATAGGACCTAGTCCCTGTCTCAAGCAAACCAACAAACCAAACAATAAAATCCACAGAGGAAGTGGAGGGAGTAAAATTAACTAGGAAAAAAGTAGTAGTAGACTCTGGTAAATTTTTTTTCATATTTTTAAGACAGGGTTTCACTCAGTGGTTCAGGCTGGAGTTGGATTCACTTTGTAGTCCAGACTGGCCTTGCACTTGCAATGATTCTCCTGCCTCAGCCTCCCAAGCGCTGGGATTATAGTCGTGTGCCACCATACCCAGATCCTGGTAGATATTATTTATTTATTTGTTTATTATTTTTCCTGTCTCCCAGTAGACTTTTTGAAAATGTATTTGGTACATTACAGGGTCTCACTACACAGATTGAACTCGTAGTGATCCTTCCTATTTTTCAGCCTTCCAAGCGCTGAGATTATGGGCACACGCCACCATGCCCAGTCTCATTTGGCCTCTCAGCGTGCCCTGGGGTTGGGACTGGCATAGCAGACTGGGGATCAAACTCTGGC